TTGGTCTGTTCCCCATTTTAAGTTGGCCAGCATGTCAACCAAAACGTCTTTGCCTAAATCAGACTTGGAACTAAAGACTTAAGCAATCAGTACCAACTGAAATCAGCTTGAGGTGAGAAGCCACTACTTTCTCTACTACTATACTTAAGGGGGGGGGGTTGACCACTTCTTCCTTAAGTCTAGTTGTAATCATACCCTCCCTCAGAGAAGCACCAATCACCTCTGAAGCTCAGATGGTAATAGGACTTATTGTGGCACATTTTAATACTTAGGAAGCAATCAGGCCCAAAGAGCAGGTTGTGGATTTCAAAGTTCTGAGTAACTTGTGCACACTGTCAACCTGCTCAAGTTGGAACCTATTTAGAAGAACCTGAGTGGATAAGATCACATCCATCTCTGATCCTACCAGAACAATGGCACGTTCGAATGAACATGAGCCATCCTGTCTGCAAAATATGTACAAATTGTTCACAACGAGCCACTGAGCTTTGCATCAAATCTCCCAATCTTACTTTTCGTTACTCAAAATAATTCTGCTGGCTCTCGCTGTAGAAGCACAACAGTGCTGGAGAAAAAAGATTTCTTTGCTACACTTGCAGCACCATATACCTTAAGGTGGTTTTGCCCATGTTTTGATCACACTCATCACATGTTCTTTTCCCTCCATAGTCCTCATTTCATTAGCATACCAAAGCCTCAGTATGAGGAGGATTGAGAATGACTGTATTGGTGACTTGAGTCATCTCTCCAGGAAAAGACCAGGACTTCGTTAGGACCTTTTGCCTTTTAAATCGGAAGGGCATTTTTGCTTTTTAATACAGAAGACCATTTCCCAAGAAACTTCAGAAATCTTTAAGCTGCATCGCTCTCCATGATCGACCACTGTTCTTTTTCAAACACCTCTGAAATTGCTAAGAGGTCAAATTTGATTAGATAGTGGTCTGTCCTCGATAACAGGACAATTTCTGGCTCTTCCCCCAACAGGTCATTGTCCTACAAATCTTTACAGGAACCCAAGCCCTATGTAATATCCTGCCACGTGCACTGGAGTAGACATTTTAGCCAATGGTCTATCACAGTGGCCACAAAGTTCTGGATTTAGTAGCCTTCACATGTATGTTGACATCATGCAAAACCAGAATACATGGAGTCCTCAATCTCATCCTAAACCACCAGCTCAAGCCAAACAGACTGCTGAGCAGTAGGTGGGAAAATTGAAGGCTTAAATTGGTTTTCCTCTCATGATTCAGAGAGGATTGCAGGCTAATAATCTCTAATGTTGTAATGCACTCAGAGTAGTGGCTTGCCACTAGATGGGCAGTATATAAATGCAGTGACTAAATAACTCAATCAATCAATCAAAATTTTCACTGCTGTCATGAGCCTACCATCTCCAGTATCATCTGAATGGAAACTAGGATAGTTAGACCAAACAGTCTGGTCTAAAAGATAATGGATAGGGTTCTGCCTAGTGCCAGCCCAACTTGCACATATTCATTTATTTCATGTAAGTACTTCAACCAACATTCAATCCCATCTCTTTTCACTTAGCTGAAGACACGTTAGGATGATAGAATTCTCACAAATCAGTATAAATGCTTTCTCTATCCTTAACTATTCAGCAGTCATTTAATAATACAATTATATAGCTATTTTTATGGATTCATAATAAATACTATAAAAAGTCAGTTTTTAAGTTACTGACAATCACTTCAACACTATCAGAACTAATCTCAGAACTCTTGGTCCTGAATTTTAGACTATAATCCTAAATCAAATTAAACAGACAAGGAGCAAGGAAAAGAATATCACTCAACAGCCAAATGTACTGCTGTCCTCTGGTCACATGCCAAAGGAGATGTGAGAAATTCATTATGAACAATGTGTTTCTAACAATCAAGGCACCACTGTCACCATATAGAATTTTT